ATTTTTAACACACTCTGTTAGCTTAGATCATTTAGAAGTTTCATCTGGTCTTGTTGAGATATATAGTTGAGTATCATCAGCATAACAGTGGAAACTAATCCCGTATTTTCTAATAATATTACCAAGGGGCAACATGTATATTGAAAATAGCAGAGGACTTAGGACAGATCCTTGTGGCACTCCATATCTTACTGGTGATAATTGAGATGACTCCCTATTTAAATAAACAAAGTGGTAGCGATCAGACAGGTAGGATCTAAACCATCTTAAAGCCTGCCCTTGAATACCTGTATAGTTTTGTAATCGATCTATGAGTATGTCATGATCTGTAGTGTCAAACGCAGCATTAAGATCAAGTAAAACTAGCAATGAGATGCAGCCTTGGTCTGACGCAAGAAGCAAGTTTGTAATTTTAACAAGTGCAGTTACTGTGCTATGGTGGGGCCTGGAGGAAGCGTTATTACATTTCTCCAAATCTGTTCTGATGAAGAAACAAACTCATCATGTATTGCATGAGGGTAAGTACATTTTCAATAAGTTTTCATTTTTGGGTGAACTATTTCTTTAAAGGCATCATAGGCTCACTCTTGAGGATGGTAAAAAGATTTGCCAGCAAAATTATCTTATGCAATTCTGGCCAAAACAAAGTATTGAATGTCTATATATTGTATATGTGAAGGCAATCCCAAAATACTATGGGAAAAGCTTACTGAAAAAAAAAATTACTTAAGTTGGCAGACAGAATTCAGAATTGACCGTTATTTGAGCTCTCATGATAAGCATTGTTTGTAGGACGTTTCAGATCAGTCACTTATGAGGGTCCATTTTGGCCCACTATGGTATCGAACAGAGCTAAATGTGTTTAAGAAGCTGATAGAAATGACAGAAACCTAAAATTGCATGGATCAGTTTGTACATTTACTGAACAGCTCCCATTTATTGTAACTAAATGTAAAACATCTCCCATTTCAGGGCCTCAGAGAACATCGCCAACAGTACCTAAAAACATGCCCATACCACAGAGGGTGACCACCACCATAAGGAAGAACCCCACACATGCCCGAAATGGGGGAAGTGATGCTGAAATCATGGAGCTTAATCAACAGGTAGAGTCCCTGGGAGGGTAAGGAAGACTTACTCTACCTTGGAATACTTTGGATTGGAGATTGGAGAAATTGAATAGAAAGAAAGTATAGGTAGATTTTGCATTTGTCATTTTTATCTTTCTTTTCTCCCATTTTCTTCAGACCATTCCTTCATCTTCTATCCCACTTATTCATATTATTGCATTTTATTTAATATTCTTCTGGACATAGATTGTCTTATCATAGTAAGCATACTGACTTTTTCCCATTAAGGAATGATGATGTTCTGATAAGTAGTATCTTACATTTTGTCCTTTGTCTTTTGCTTTGTTTTTTTTAAGTTGATGGAGCTGAAGTTAACTGTAGATGGTCTGGAAAAGGAGAGAGATTTCTACTTCAGCAAACTTCGAGACATTGAGCTGATCTGTCAAGAACATGAGACTGAAAACCACCCCATTATCAGTAGGATAATTGACATTCTGTATGCCACAGAGGTACTGCCAATGATACGTTTGATATCTTTTTTGCTAATTATTTGACATATATATTTGTCAGGTTGATTCATAATTGCGACATCAATATCAGTTTGTATCGGCTGTTGACTAAATCCAAGTTGGTCATGCAGATTCACAGCATTAACCAACAGAAAGATGGCACCATGACATGACTCAACAAGAGTCAAATTTGAGTTCTAATGCCAATTATGGTAAAAACACTTAAAAAAAATGATTACATTATAAGCTTAATTATGCATCATGCTCATTAGTCCTCGCCACCTTGGAAATCAGATTTTGAGCACCATTAAAGATCTAAGCTGTCTGAAATGCAGCTAAATCTACTGACAACTGTATATGAATATATGAAAAATGCCGTGATGAATTCACAGCATTAACCAACAGAAAGATGGCACCATGACATGACTCAACAAGAGTCAAATTTGAGTTCTAATGCCAATTATGGTAAAAACACTTAAAAAAATGATTACATTATAAGCTTAATTATGCATCATGCTCATTAGTCCTCGCCACCTTGGAAATCAGATTTTGAGCACCATTAAAGATCTAAGCTGTCTGAAATGCAGCTAAATCTACTGACAACTGTATATGAATATATGAAAAATGCCGTGATGAGTCTTCAGAATCAAAATCAATTTATTGAAATGGAGATGAAATTGTTGCTACTGATGTTTTAATTAGAACCACTATGAAACTGAGAACTAAAATTAAGAAAACTAGTCTAGTGACATGCTCCTCAGGAACCATAATGGACAAATACAAAAGTGCATTAAAATAATTGAAATATACAAAATTTTATACAGTGCAGTGTTGAAATACCATGATCATCCTAAAAAAAATGCCTATTTTTTTTACAGGCTGGCTTTGCACCACCAGAAGATGATGAAATAGATGAGCAGGCCCACTTGGACCAGGACGAAGACTGAGCATCCTCCTCTTCCACATCATCGTGACCCTTCACCATTTCCTCTCCCCACCACTTTGAATGACTCCCCTCTATCGCACGCTGTTAATATCCTCTCAGTTTCCTACAAATATGTGGGCTCACCATATATACTCTTAACTCTTTGTCCTCCAACACTGGTTTATACACTACATACGTATCAACAAACACTCGCCGTCCTCACCCCCATCCAGACAGTAGCACAAACCACGACACATCCTAGCCATCATAGCATGTTTTACATATCGACACAGAGAATGAACAAAAGAAAAGGTGTCATAGAATGTGGGTAACACAACGGACTGAAAAATGTAAATATTGAGATGAGAAAGACGTTTTTAAAAGAAAAAAAAGAACAATATTGCCTGGAATGCAGTTATTTGTTGTGAGATTTTCATACACATTTTCCTTAAGGTCTGTCTCGGCTCCATTCAGTATGAAACGATCAGTATCACGCCATCCATCTGTCTCCAGCTTCAGTCTGCCTCTCTCACTGACTGTACACTTCTAAAGGGACAGTTCACACAGAAATTACTATTCTGTTTTCAATTTCTCACCCTGTCGTTCCAAATCTGAATGCCTTTCTTTCATGGAACAAACGAGGAAAGCTTTTCATTTCCATAGAATTGCAGCAAATAGAGACTAAAGCTTTCAATCTTGAAAAAGGACACAAATGAACCATAGAAGTGGTCCATATGATTCACACACTAAATTCCAAGTTAGGGCTGGGCGGTATATCGAGTTTGTGCGATATATCGATACTTTCTTTATAAGCGATTCGATATGAGGTAATTTATATCGATATACAGTAGTTTGATATGAGCGCATCTGAAGCGGAGGACAGACTGAGCTGCTGCGGAGAAAGTGCATAATCCAATTTGTTCTAAACATGTGACAAGCTTCATATTAAGGCCTTTAAAAACTGGTAAGACATAGTTTATAGTTTTGTTTCGCATATTAGTTTAAGTGGCTCGGCCGTCATATGCTCTGACAGAAAGGCTGCGTGTGCCGCTGACAGAGATACTAGGCCACTCGTGCTGTTTAATGTGTTTGAGATGTGCTGTCTTCCTGAATGCATAACTTTCATTTCACAGGTATATTCTCCATCTGTAAATGTTAGAAAGCCATGGAAATATTTCCATTTTTCTGTCAGAAGTGCATGAACCGACCTTCTTCTTTGGGTTCTCCGCTAAACTTCACAGACTTCAGTGAACGAGTGCCGCCGCGCACATGCGCACCAAACAGACGGAGCTCAGTTAAATAGGAGCGCAATAATTCTGACTAAAATATACATTTCGCTGAAATATTTGTAGTTGGATAATAAATGTGACATGTAGAA